AAATTCTCCTTAGGCGTGTGTGTGAATGGTTGTTTGTCTCTGTGTTGCCCTGCGATGGACTGGCGGCCTGTTCAGGGTGAACCCCGCCTCTTTCCCATAGACAGCTGGAGATAAGCACCCCTTGCGACCCCACTTGGGATAAGTGTGATGGAAGATGAATGGAACTTTGTCTTTTCCTGTGGATCTTTAGGCCTCTCTAGAACTGCAAGATCCCACTGAAGTTTCACAAAGATTTCTGATTCCTTCCTTATGTCGGCTTCACCATCACATTTCCAGTTTAGTCTGTTGTCCAGGAGAAATTTCAGATAGTCCTTCACCACCTCCTCTCCTCTGAAAATACTATTGAACCCATTTCCATCCATATTTGTTAGGACTTGGTACTAAATAAATAAGCTGAATTAAAACTATATATGTATTAAAGCAATAAAAATGTTATTATTGCAGCTACCGGTAATCCAATGTGTAGTTTGATGCACAGCAATGTAATTTGTTTCTTTAAATATTTGGATCTTAATCCAAAGAAATGGGGAAACTATTTTTTTAATTCTTTATTTGAACTTGTCAAACAGAAACATCACTGAGTTCATGAACATATAACGTGTTCGTAAAATTACATCAACTGAACCATTTTTAAATTAATGTTTGGTTTGAAAATACAATAAATAGAACTTATAATCATAAATATTGTGAACAGGGAGGATTTAATCATTTACTCTTTGGCATCAGTGACTCCACCACCAGAGATTGCAAAGGTGGCCTCATTCTCCGGCATGTCTGGGCTGCAAGAAATCACAACAACAAACCTGATTAACACAGAAGAGTGGCAAACGTTTCTTTGTGAGCTCTGAGTTTGGGGCCGTCTTTAAAACGGGAAACCCTAAGGAAGGAGTAAAACTGGAGTTCTTATCATTTGAATAGAAACTTAAAGGTGCTTCTTGCCTCAGACTAACAATAAATGATCTGAACCGACAGAAATTGATGGATACCTGTCAAATATCTTAGCAATTCTCATCTCTCCACGGCCCTTCCTCAAGCTGATCCGAGTGGTGGAGGCGTGTGCCAGGATGTGGCCACCAATCGGCTTCTTTGGATCCGCTTGAAAACTAAAAATAAATGAAAACTTGAAGTTAAAACTGTTTTTTTTTTTAAAACAGAACTATCCGTGAGCAGGGTGTCTGTCAGTTCTTACGTCATTCCTGCTCCAGGATCTGCTGTCATCTGGTTGGTAACAAACACAGCTACGTTGTACTCTAAGAGGAGGTGAAAAAATTGAAAAACAGGAAAACAATCAGACCTTAATAGCTACAAATAGATGAATACCACAGATGGGGGAATTTGATTATTTGTATATCTCATTTTTAAGTCATGGTTTAAATGTTTTTGTCTTCTCTTACTTTCTAAGTTGTAAATAAATATTTGCTTGAAAAAACTGGTTAAAAATAAAGCACCATAACACTTCAGTTTTTAGGTTATTTCTCCTCAGAGGGTCTCCTGCCCACATCTCTGCTGCAGTACAGCATGTCAGGCTGATTGAATCCTGTTACAGGGAGCAGGATTTGGACCATAGGTAGTTTTTTTCCCATCCAGATGTAGTTCCATTTGTCTTTAAGTTGTTTCAAGTGTGTTAAGTATTGAAAAATACAAAGGAAGTTTTGCTCCAGTCCTGCTTGCTTTCTCCATCAACACTATAGCAGAACTAATGGCAGACTGTAATGAGAGTTGGGAGTCCACATTGTTTGGTTTTGGTGTTGCCTTTGACGGTGACACAGAAACCCATAGTTCTGTTCATTGAGTAGCTTTGGATCAGCGCTGTAAGCTAACTAAAGCTGGTATTATTTTTGTATCCAGTTCAACATCTTAAAGACAGTTATAATGTGGAAAGTTAAGGAACACCAGCATTCGGCAGCATGCAAGGTCAACTTGAGCAGGTAGGCAGATAATCAGCTAGTTTTATTATTTTAAATTGTTAAAGTTATATATTTTTTTCTTTATATGGGAAATTTACATGTCTGACAATAACGTTCCATTTTGTATTCCTGTAAGATTTTTTTTATTCATCCCCTTAGGCAAAGCTGAAATGCAGAGCTGTTACTTTGGTGTTTCTCCCCAAGCATTTAAAAACAAAATCTTTACTAAATTTCAACTAATTGGATGTTAAATGATAAAAAGGAAAAGCATGTGTTTAAAAATGTCTCACCTTCAGAGATCTTCTGCAGCCTTGAAAGCATTTGGGCCAGCTTCTGCTGCCGCTCTGCCAACTCTCCACGACCCGAGAAGTCAACTCGAAACAGAGCCATGATGGAGTCGATGATCTGAAGAGGAAAATCCAATATGAAGATGTCAGAGTGAAGGCTTAGAGTCCCCACATTATAAAATGATTATTTTAGGCCAGGGTAAAAAAAAATTAATCACAGCTTGATTAACTTTATATAGCATGAAATTAAACAGAGGATTGATGTAACACTTGATAACTTTGTCTCTCACCAACAGTTTGAAAACTCCTCCTTCTTCATGAAACTTTGCTGCTACAAAGTCCAGCAGCTCCATCTGGTGTTCACCTGCAGGGACGGCACACAGTTTAAATGGAAGTAAAATAATCACACTAAGATAGGATGAGAAAAGAACGGAAACAAAAACAATCTAGTTTATGTGAGCTCCAGGGTCTGTCCGCACTGGTATAGGCCCGGGCATAAAGAACATTGTCCAGCACAGCATCATGGTCCACACCGAAGCGGTCAGCGATGTCTCTGAGTCTGTCTGGGCGACTGGAATCAGGAACAGGTCAAGGATAATATGAAATAGAAAACAGGTTTCATTGATCTATTCTGACTTTTAATTCAATATGCTTCGATTTTCAGAATCTCCTTATTTTTTTAGGGGCTATAATTCAAGATCTTTCCATGCAGTTTTCACAAACTTCTTGATATTTGAGTACAAACTGTCTAGTTAAAGTTATTGGTCTGTGATCCTCCACAGATACAAGCGACCAAATCTGTCCAAAGGTTTCAGACACATTTTAAAAGGAGAACGTTTTCAAATTCCCCAACCTCCACTGTTTTAACCCTAATTAATCAATACAAAAAAAAAAAAATTAATGTTATGGACAAAAGTTCTTCAACATCCTTGAACCCAGAAAATTAAACTATTTAAGAAGAAAATTCAAAGAATGTTTTATTTACAAAGGCAAAACTTCCCAAAAGAACAGGCAAAAACTGAGTTGAACAACGGACAGGGGGAATTTTCAAAGAAACGAAACTGGGACACATGTAAGGAGGAATGAAAGGACAGAAAAAAAAACAAAGAAGCAAATTACACAGCAAAGAAAAAGAGGACAATGAGGCAGAAAAAATACAGAAACAAAGAAGGACACAATAAAAGAAAGCTGACCCCAGGAAGGATTAAGAAAGGGTGGGTCAAGAAAGAACAATACTAAGTAAAAACTAAATAGAAAAAGAAGGAATAAAGGGCACAAGAAAGGACATAAAGATGAAAGGAAGGAAGAAACTTAAGGAAGGAAAAGCAGAGAAAAGAATAAATAGATAAAGGATATGTAATGACAAACAAGGGAATGAAGACACAATAAAAGGGAGAAAAGAAAAAGAAGGAAGGGATAAAACAGAGAAAAATACTCAAAAATGAAAGCAAGTATAAAAGGTAGGACAGAAGGAAGGGAACAAGAAGGAAAAGACAAAAGGGAAACAAAAATATTTACACCAGATTTAAACTGCAGTAGTTGTAAAGATACAAGGTGTTCTCCGTGTCAATGAAGATGACTTTCCCACCAGAGTATCCATCCTCGCCAGGCAGCTGGGCTGTGACTGGAAATACAAACACAATAAATACTATATACTTTAGACTACAGCAAAATAGAAATGAAAAAAAAAAAAAGTTGGGATTACACAGATTTATAAGATGACATACTTACCACAAAGTGTGTGAGACAGCTGGGTTTTTCCTGTTCGGAACTCTAAAGAAAATTGAAATAATTCAAAGAAAAATATCCATCGAATTGCGTTTAGTGAGTCAGTTTAAAAGAATCACAGCCTCACCTCCAAAGGCCTCTGTAATAGCCATGCTCTCTACCCCTCCACCCAAAAGCTTGCTGCACAGATACAGAGGAAATATATCACAAAGACATCAATAAAAGAACATCTAGCAGGGGAAATAAGGGCAACATTATGAAAGATCTTAACTCAAACTCTTGGCTCCCAGTAGTTATGTGGAACACCTGCTTCCTCTTGGTGCTGTACTCAAACGCAGTCTGGAAGCCGACATTCTGTTATGTGAAAAACAATCGGGATCTTGTTTTCCTTTCTTGAGGTAGAATCAAAAAAATTAACAGAGAGCCATATCTAACCAGCATTTTTCCAGCAGCTTCCTTTATTTTTTCCACTTTTGCCTCCGACAGGCCCTTGATGTTGCATAGAGCTTTGCGTGTAGTCATCTGGATCCCTTTGACGGTACAAATACCCACTGACTTCAGCTTTTTGATGTCTGCCACGTTCTGGGGGAACATGTAGAATTGACAAACACTGTTAAAATAATATATGCCACAGACAATCACCCCTTTTCATTAATTCTCTCATTACATCCACAACTTCATAGCATTTAAGTTGAATTTATGTGATTAACTGACAAAAGATAATAAAGTAAGTAAGTAAAATGGTTTATATAAAGGTTCAAGAAGAAGAAGCATCTTCTTACCAATTTTGATCAGGTCTAACTAGATATGTCCCACAGTATGATGCTGTTCCTACCATGTATTAGCATTAAGATGGGGTGTTTAAATGAATGAGCGGTGTTTGATTCTTACAACATACAGGATTTCGTTTAAAGGCAAAAAAAAAAAAAAAAATGTTACCTGATCTGTCTGAATCACCTTTTTCTAAATTCTTGCAGAAAACAATACTTCTTGCAGCCACATTTTACACAGCGACTTTCTGTTCAAGGTCTGAATTAATGTAACACTTGACAAAGCAGTCCATTCTATACAACCAGTTCAGTATATTTGTGTGGTGCTTATTCAGATTCCATTCCAGGGCCTTTTAAAGAGTCATTCCTCCACTTGTACTTTGGATCTCTGCATCTCCACATTAATTTGGGTGTTTGGAGCCCAGGCAGAAGATCTACAGATCCCTCCATGGTGTGCTGCTGTATTTTAGGTGGAAGGTGTCTCATTGGTCCATCTTCTCTTCATGTTCAGACGATGGCTTTAAATCCCTGACCCATATGCTGTGTTTCTTAGCCTTCATGATGCTGCTTGTTATCTGATTATCTTAAAATACCACTGCAACCTAAAAACAGCTGGTTGCTTACCTTACTTTACTTGAGGGTTATTGAGGTAAAGGGGGTTGAATGCAGATAAAAACCATCAGTTTTAAGTACAAAAAACATGCAACATTTCCTTTTTCACAATCAATAAGCAAATATCTTTGTTGGTCTGTGACATGAATTCTACTTAAATATCATTTCATTTTGGGGTTGTATGGTGACAAAATATAAAGACAATGTGTTTATACCTCTTTAAGGCACTCTGACTTATTTTATATGCACTGATATTTTAGTTGAGATGTTTACTTACAATCCCATGTTTCTGTAGAAGGTCAATGTCTTGGAAAAACGACTCCTGTTCAGTTAAGAGAAAACAGATATATTAAATTTTACAAATTAGGGTTTATTATTCAATGAAGCCATTAATTGTTCCACCTTAATACAGACTTTACGCACTAGTAAATTATGTTTGCATCATTGTAGTCTGACTTTTTTATTAATGATAAATACTGGGAGATATTTTTTAGGAAAACTCAAATGTATTTTCTCAATCTTACCTCATCATCCTGGAAACCATTATCATCCTCAACAACTTGATCCTCAGATACTTTCATTTTCATTCAGAATTCTTTAAAAAATGAGCCAAATCTATACTTTATACTATACTACGTTTAGTCCAATCTTTTAAAGGTATTTTTTTTTTTTTTTTGCTTTTTAGCCAAATGCAGAAGAGTTAATTTAATGACAAGCTAGCTCGCTACTCAAAACGTAGTCACAAAATAGAGGCTGGTAAACAAACTCAAATTGTTTGAATTATGCGTTTGAATTTAGGAAAAATAAATAACTAAAACAACTATCGTATAAAATGCTAGGTTCTTTAAACTCTAAAAGCAGCTTCTTGTTCTTTGTCAGCTAACACCTAGCTTGCTCCACTGGCGGGAATTTAGAGCTGAGATATGTTGAAGTGCTGTCGGAAATTAGGGTTTCATTACTCAGATCATTGAATAACTCATCAGTCCCTTCTCCATATTTTATTTTATTTATTTGGTTGTTTTTATTTTTGTCTTGAGCGTTTCACCCTTTTACAAATATCTGCCAGCTTGGGTTGAGAACCTCCAGATAAACCTCCCGATAGATGAATAGAAACGGAGAAAGCAGAAATGTACAGAGGTTCTCAAAAGCCCCCTGTTCGCCAGTTAGATTTTTTTAAATGTTTGTACTACAGGACTTAAATTTCATAAATATATACTATATGATTGTACTATGTAAAAACATAAATTAACAATGTGTGACTAAATAAGTAAGACTTTAAAGATGCCTTCAATGTTTTAAAAGAAGGCAGCATAATGCTACAAACTCCAAAGGACTTAGAGAGCTAACCGTTAGCTTGTTCTGCTAACATTTTCTGTTTAATTTTGTTTACTGCAGTTCTGTAATTGTTTTAATCCATGACTCAGGTGCTAAAATGCGATAAAAAAAAAAAAAAATTATGTCAATGCTAATAGTTGAATGTATGTATGTGTTCGACATGTTTGTTTAGGGATCGTTACAAGTATTTTATTTTATTTTTTTAAAGGAACTGAAAGGAAATAATTATCAAATGGCTAGCTTCGGTTATAGTTGCATTCTCTGTCCACCAGAGGGAAGTAGACTGTTTCCAGTTTTGGGGGTTTTTCTGTTGTTGCTGGATTCCTGCTTCCGATTGTTTTATGAAGCACTTGTTGATTTGTTTTGTCTGTTTCTTCCTAACTATTTAAAATTTTCTTATTAAGGGGGAATCTAAAGCTTCTTCATACAGATAATAAAACCGCCCAGTGATTCAGTGATTACATGTAAAAAAATATATATATATACATACATGTATATATATATATATATAT